ATTATATGAAAGAGAATATGCAAGTCTACATCAGGAGCTAGGAGTGATGGCACGCGCCTATAGTCCCAGCTACTTGGGAGGCTGAGGCAGGAGGATAGCTTGCACCCAGAAGCTGGAGGCTGCAATGAGCCATGATCCTGCCATTGCACTCCAGGCTGGCTGGCAGAGTGAGACCCCCATCTCTATAAAAAGTAAAAAACTAAAAGAAAAAGGAAATCCTACATCAAAGATGCTCTGTGCTTATGTTGGGTTTTGTCACCGTGGCTAGTGGTGATAACATGTGCAGTTCCCCCACGGACTTGGGCATCAGGGAAAGCAGCCCTAACTCTCTTCCACTGTTGGGACCTCTTCGTGTGGTCTGACTCTGAGCCATCACATCGAGTGACCTGCCCTCCCCCTGGATGAACTAACCACTGACCTTTCAGGTGACCCCACCATGGAGCAGAGGCTGCTGGGATCTCAGAGAACTGGAGCCACTTGAAGGACTGAACAGCCTTCCCTGATATTCGGGGCACTGCATTCCCACTTCTGCTGAACTCTCTGTCTCACTCCACCTGGACTCCAGGGTGGGCCCCTGCTCTCTGCTGCCCCACTGATCTGCACCTGCCCAATTGTTCTAATTCCCCATGACCTGCTGGAGCACACACATGACTGTGGAACCCTGCATTGGCTAGAACATGTCTACAAGAAGACATGGGACATTCACCTGGGCAGTGCCTCCGGCATCTTAATTCAAACAGAAGCCAACACTGGAGTTTGAGAGCAAAGAATGAGGGTAACAGGATTTGGTCTTTTCTGTGCTTATGGGTAGGGCTCTGCCCATTACCATGGTGTCAACTTTGAGCAGGAGTCCCACATGCCACTCCAGGAAGACATCCCTTACACACACAGATGCCATCATCCTTATGGCTCTCAGCAACGTCACATGCACTGATGGCAAACATATCTAACGTCTACATTTCTCACTTTTTAAATTTATTTATTTATTTACTTGGAGATGGAGTCTTGCTCTGTCACCCAGGCTGGAGTGCAGTGGTACAATATTGGTTCACTGCAACCTCTGCTTCCTGGGCTCAAGCAATTCTCCTGCTTCAGCCTCCTGAGTAATTGTGATTACAGGCGCCCACCCCCATGCCTGGCTAATTTTTGCATTTTTAGTAGAGACAGGGTTTCACTATGTTGGCCAGGCTGGTCTTGAACTCCTGACCTCAAATGATCTGCCCGACTTGGCTTCACAAAGTACTGAGATTACAGACGTGTGCCTCTGTGTCCCGCCTAAATTTCACACTTTTTTAACATAAGTACATCCACTGGTCCTGTATTTTATGACATCTTGTGATCCTACCCACCTTGTACCATGTTCTAGACTGGAGAGGGATGGCAGGTGCCAAGCACAGTGACTCTAGTGTTGGGAATTTCTATTAAGCCCCAAAATTCTGAGGAGAGGGAACACAGGGGTAGGGCCGCAGGAATGTGTGGGGTGCCTGGGCGTTTCCCACCTTGTTCACAGTCTGTCTACCCGGCAAGGGCCAACCAGCTACCTGCACACAAGTGCTGCAGCTGCTAACATTAAAATAAGAGGTATTTGTCTTCACACTGCCTCAAATTGTTGCTCATAGTACACGTCCCACACTGGGAATCAATGGCCCACACTAAGGATTGTATAATTCATCAGTTGTAGTCCCTTCTTTTACTAATTTTGCAATTTAATTTAAAAAATAATGAACTTTCCTTGATATGATCCATCCTTTATATACCTAAGGAATAGGCACTGCTGCTTTAAATTAAATATAATTTTGAAGCATGCCACCTGGATGCCACCATCCCCTAAGTCCTTGAAACTGTCTTCTCTTGGAAACAACATGACATTTTAGCTGAACACAAGTGTCTTTTTTTTTCAACTGTAAATGAGCATTTTATACTCTCCAAAAATCAAAATGATATTTTTACTGTTATGATTTTATGATACTCCTTTATAGGGTAGTCTGCTTTTGTGAAGTTGAAGAAAGCAGTGAAGTGGAAACCTGTAACAAATAGGGCATATTGGAGTTGGGCTGTGTGGTTTAAATTTTCCATTTATTTAATTGGGGAGAAAAGTGTGTGTTTGTTTGGATATCTAATTATTGGGAAAGGAGAGGTTCATTTGTCTGAGTTAATATCCCTTAACCAAGTTAAAAATTAGCATACATCTCTTTAATTATACCTCGAAGTGACAGCATCATGCATCAGCCACTCACTCAGGCCCATTTGCCGCAGTTCTCATCCATCCACCTGATCCTGGAACAGGGACAGGAGGGAGTGTCCTGCCCACCTGCCCCCCACCAAGCCTCCACATGCACACACTGTCCTGTTGCTGGAGGGCCATCCCTGCCCCATTGCTGACTCGAAGCCCCCGTGGCCTTGTGTGACCACCCCCCTTCCCACCCATGTGCTCAGCCTCTCTGGCTTTCTGGTGGCCTAAGGAGGCACAGGCATTGCTCCCAAGTCAGACCTTGCACCTGCCCCTGCTCTGCCTGGGCAGATCCCACCTCTGCTCCCCCGCAGTCTTCCGCTAATCAATCCCATGGACTAGTTCAGACCCCTCTAGTACACCCTATCCTCGTCCTGACCCCCCACTCCTCATCATTCACTTCCACAGCCTCGCCTCTCTCCTAATTTCACATTCAATGACAACTAGGTGGTCTACTCCATGAAGGCAGAGGCCTTTTCTTCATTATCTCTCGAATTCATGGTGTATCCTTAGTGCTTGTGTGTTGCTGGAGCATAACTGTGTTCAATAATTGCCTACCGAGTGAATGAATGAATGAACAAAAAAAACGGCAAATTAGTGAATCCTTGTGAGCGCTGCCCTGTGACATTACTGAGCCCATATTTGATCTCAGAAGCCAAGCCACATGGAAACACCGTGGACCTGGTGAATGCGCCCCCTGGAGGCTGAGAAGAGAGGGGATTTCTCTGGCTGTAGGAGTCCATGTTAATTTCTAAGCACATCATCTGAGGGTTTCATTCATTTGCTGTTTCATATTATTGCCAAAATCAAATGGTCTGTAGCTTAAATGTCCAACAATCAAGAAATGGTTGAGGAAATAGTAGAATTGCAATGTGCTAAGTTGCTATTTAAAATTATGTTTACACGGAGCTTATAATAACATGAGAAATTGCTTATGATATAATATTAATAAGAAACCAAATAGTCTATGCTGTACAACGTTACATGAAGACTATGATGGCAAACACATTTTTAAAAACTCACAGAATTCTAATATAATGCAAGAAGAAAATAGCAAGAAGGCTGATTGTTTCTGGGTGATGGGTTTAGGTGATGGGTTTGTTTCTTCTTTCTGCTTCTCTGTATTTACCAGATGTTCTACAGTGAGCATTTATTACTTTTATAATATGTAAAAAGAAATTGTAATGCTTTTTCTTCCCAAAGATAAGAGGATCTATAGTTGCCTCTACTCCCACAGCCAGCTTAGAATTGCTATTTTTTGTTTTTCCAAGGATGACCTCCTGGTGACATCTGTGTCCTGGAGGACTTCCCATTCCTGGGGGTGGATTTGCACCACAGAGGAGTCCAGCCAACTCACACAGGCTAGCTGGAGGCCCCACATCCCACTGCAGCCACTCCCTTTCTTTTCTTTTGAGGCAGGTCTCGCTGTGTTGCTCAGGCTGGAATGCAGTGGCATGATCATGGCTCACTGCAGCCTCAACCTCCTGGGCTTAATTGATCCTCCCACCTCAGCCTCCCGAGTAGCTGGGACCACAGGTATGCACCACCACGCCCAGCCAAGAGATGAGGTCTCGCCATGTTACCCAGGCTGGTCTCGAAATCCTGAGCTCAAGCAATCTGCCCACCTCAGCGTCCCAAAGTGCTATGTCAGGTGTGAGCCATCACACCCAGCTAACCCCTTTTCCAATGTGCACATGTGCTTGAGTGTGCGGACTGAGTTTTCCCATCAGCTGGGATAGGGGAGGCACTGGCAACAGCTTGTACGTACGTTTTGCCTATTAGTTATTCAGGCCCTAGTGTGGCACTGCAGCCCACATTTCACTTCCAAAATGTTTAGAAATCAATAACTAATTTATACAGAGTTCTCTTAGAAATAGGTGCTATTTTCCATCTCATTAAAATGCAACTTGAACAGAAGCCATGCCTGCCCCTGGGATTCAACTCTGGTTGGCCTCTCTCACCTGTGGGATAGAGTGTCCAATGGGAGAGGATGAAGAGGGTCTGCAGGCTCCACTCATAGGTGGGAAATGAAAGGCAATTGGGCAGAAAGTCCTGCATGCTTGGCCCAATAGCAAAGCCCCTGTGGTCACAGCCAAGGGACCACTCTGAGCCCAGCATGGTGGCTCTCACTTGGGAATTTTTCAGTGTGCTTCAGTGTGAATTCATTTCAGGAATTAAAGTCACCAGTAATAACTGTGTGTGCGGGTATGTGTCTAGAAAGGATTTTTCAACATTCTCCTGCAGGTGCTCTGATAGCCAGAAACACCCAATGCTACGTGGTTATTACTGTTCACATGCCTCCCTACATGCACCTGCTGCATTGATGCCCAGGGAAACCAGCATATATTCATAGCCTTCCTGCAATGTTTCATTTTTAAAGAAAAATCTTTAAGGTTTTAATAGATTTTATTTAACAGCATGTAGAACATTGCTGTCGTAGGTACAAGATGTCTCTTTAAATTGCTTATTGAAACATCAGTCATTTGAGTTCACAAAGATAGGATGCAAATGTTATTAAAATACCATCAAGTTACAAAAGTACCAATGCATCTACCCCAAAACCCCCAGTGTGCATTTCCTTTGATTTGTCGATATCTCTGAAACCAGCAACTAACTTGCTTTGAGAAGGGACCAGGTAAACAATGATCTTAACCTGGTCCCTGCATCTCTCTCCCCAGGTCCCACCCAGCCCGTAAACCCAGCTCCACTGTCACCTCCTGCCATGCTCTAAATGGAACCAGGGCCTTTGTTCTCTGAACTTCTTTGTTCTCCATCTTCATCTTTAACCTCTGATTCTCCTGAGGGGGGCTATGTGGACCCAGCATCACATCACTTCTTCTGCTAACATGACACAGTGGGGCAAGGGGTCTCATCCTCAGGGGCCACCCCACTGCTAGTTTCTGGGAAGAGGACAGGAAGGGAAAAACCAATGTTCAGAAAAGAGATGATGAGGCCATCAAGTTGAAGTCGAAACTGAAGGAGGGAGAGGCTGTGAGGTCTTCCTAGAAAGGCATCATAGGGTCACTTCTGAGGGTGCTTGAATGCAACATCAAGGCATCTCTACTTCATTCTGCAGGTAACAGGAAGCCATTGATGGTTTCCCACCAGAACAGTAAGGTGATCAGAGCTTCAGTCCCAGAAGATCTTGCAACAAAGACTAGAGCTAGAAGAAACCCCCACTTCCCTCCAGCTAGAAATCGAGTCATCTTATTTTAGATCCTCCTTGTTTCTTCTACTCTGTCTGCGTATGGAGACTTCTTTCTCTCTTGCGGCAAGGCTTCTCTGTCCTAATGGGTCTCACCATTCTGCTGGCCTGCCAGCTCCTTACAAGCAGGGTTTGTGCTGAAGATACTTCCCCTACAAGTGCCTGGCGCAGCAGTTGGGGCCACTGGTGTTGCCTAACTCTCTACCTTATTTCATAAAGGATTCAGGGTACACTGTTGGTGGTCAATAAATTAGATGAATGCATGGACAAATGAACAAATGAAGGAACGAATGAAGTCTTGCGGGAATGCCAGCACTTACTGTCCCAGTAGGCTCTGCCTCTCCGGCAGCCCATGGAGGCCACAGCTGGACATGCCCTGGAACCTCTGGGTGAGAGACAGGGGGCATTGTAGGCCCAAGAAGGAAGAGATTCCTAGACTGCTGGGACTGGGGGACCCCTTTTAAAACAGAATGTGCCAGCCAGGTGCGGTGGCTCACATCTGTAATCCCAGCACTTTGGGAGGCCGAGGTGGGTGGATCACCTAAGGTCAGGAGTTTGAGGCCAGCCTGGCCAACATGGTGAAACTCTGTCTCTACTAAAAGTACAAAAAATTAGCCAGGCATGGTAGCGGGCACCTGTAATCCCAGCTACTCAGGGGGCCAAGGCAAGAGAATCCACTTGAACCTGGAAAGCGGAGGTTGCAGTGAGCCAAGACCATACCATTGCACTCCAGCCTGGATGACAGAGTGAGACTCTGTCTCTAAATAAACAAATAAATAACAGAACGTGCCCACTTGTCAATGGGTGCCAAGTGAGTCTGTCCCATCCACCCTGGTGGCCTGTATTCTTACCGCATCCCTCAACACCCTGGTCATCCTCCCCACCTCTTTCCTTAGGAGCAGCTTATGTGAAGAATATTGCAGCTGAAGGGTGGCACCCCAGTCAGGTCAAACCTCCCTGGATCACTCATCCCAGGACCACACTCCCTTAGAAAAACAGGAGCAGTTTCTGCTTAGACTCAGCCAAAGTCCATGAAGGCCCACTGAGTGGATTCTTTTCCAGCTAAGCCTTTGAACACCAGTCTATCCCGCATCCAATACCAACAGAGTGTTTTTTCTGCTCCTCTGAACACCAGTCTACCCCACACCCAACACTGAGACAGTGTTTTTTCTGCTCCTCTGAACACCAGTCTACCCCACACCCAACACTGAGACAGTGTTTTTTCTGCTCCTCTGAACTCCAGTCTATCCAACACCCAAAACCGAGGCAGTGTTTTTTTCTGCTCAAGATACTTACTCCAGCTAAACTGGACCCCTTGGGTGAAAGAGCATTTTTAGAAATTCCATCTCAAGGCAAATATTGTTGAAGAAACTGGACTGACAAGAAATACAATGTGTGTTAGAAAGACAAGTAGATACTGGGTCTCCAAGTTAAATCTATTTTTACAAATAGCCTGTACCCAAGGCTCTTTATTTATGATACTGAAAAGCACACTGTTTGGAGAACTGTAATAACTTTAACTGCAGTTGTAAAGGATGGTAATATGTAGCATGATTTGCCTGCCATTATGTTATTTGTACTGTATAAATACAAAATTTCAGAATCAGATGTTTTATGGGGAATCATTACAATTCTGAAAATGTGACTGAACTTTCCCTAAATATATAAAAAATGGAATCACTTGTGAGTGTACATAATTGAAAACAAAGTTTATGATGCAGTAGCTGTCTACAAATATCAACAGAAATTTAAAAGAACTGTGTCAAAATTTGTATTTTGTATATTATGCTCAGAAAGTAGCTCTACTGTATATGTCTGCTTTTCATGTACTGAGTTGTTCTGAGCCCATTTGCAGATGGATAAAATTGGTTGACAGGAAGGTCTTTGGGGTTTGAGACTGATGGGGTCGCCATATACAGCAATGCAGGTTGTGCACTGAACAACTACAGGGGGCCCCTTTTTCATTGAGAATGATGTGGGAGGCACCTGCTGGAGCTGCGTAGTGAACAACCCACACAACTGTCAGGAGTGAGCCATCACCCTGAGGGAGAAGCAGGTCTGCCTGTGCACCCTGCAAGAACACAGCCAAGAATGGAAACAAATTTCAAATCTTGAAAGAATTTCCTACACATCAGAACCATCTTCAGTTCATTCTTTCTTTCTGTCACTTTTTAAACTCACAAGTTGTGAATTTCCCCCACGGAACCCTCAGAGGGGCTGCCAGGAGATTCCTGCATCCAATGAGTGAACATGGCTCCTCTGTCTGCTGCCACTCTGGGATCTGGGAGTCACCAGCAAGCCAGAAAGTGTTTCTTGTGCTTCCTTGCTCCTGGGCACATCTTTCTTTGACTCCAGGGTTTGTGGGTTGGAACCCTGGCTGCCTCCTGATCAGCAACCAGGAGGGTTATGTTTCTGGCCAAGCTTGGATTTACATTTGAGAAAAGGCTCCTCCACCTCCTCCCTATCATAAGTGAAGGGTCCCTAACTCCAACCAGCAGAACATTAAATGGTGTCTTGAGAGCTGCCCGTGCTAATAACCTAGAACAATTCAATAAAATGTGCTCTTGTTTTAGGCCCAGCAAAAACAATTCACTTCCAACAAATGACTTAGAACTGATAGATTTTGGCCGGGCGCGGTGGCTCAAGCCTGTAATCCCAGCACTTTGGAAGGCCGAGACGGGTGGATCACGAGGTCAAGAGATTGAGACCATCCTGGTCAACATGGTGAAACCCCGTCTCTACTAAAAATACAAAAATTAGCTGGGCATGGTGGCGCGTGCCTGTAATCCCAGCTACTG